TGTCGTTGGTTAAGTAAGGAGCCACCCAGCCGGGACTCACAGAGGCACAAGTAGCTGCATCTTAAGTTAGGATCTCAGAAAAATGAAGGACACATTCTGTCTACCATTTACTTTTGTACGTGCTTTGTGAGTTCCACTGCTGGATTAGCAGTGATGTTTTTCTTTATACAAAGCAAGGGTGAGATTTGTCAAGATTTTTTCTGATTTCTGGATCTTTATCTTTTTTTTGTTTCAGGATTTTTCAAACAGTCTCTTACAAAATCTGACAAATCGTGGGTTTACCAATAAGGTGTTTATATTTCTAAAAGGTGATATAGGGCACAAGAAGTGGGCTATATTTAGGGATGCCGTCGGACAAACACGAATTAAACCCTTGACCCTATGCTGCTGTGGGGCGCTTAAAACCTCTTGTGATTATTTTGTGGATAGTTGATTTTCCTTCCATCTCGCCCCTCGTAAAGGGAGGGCAAGCAAGACTCTTCCCCCCAGGAAACAATCAGAGAAAAAGATGTCCCTGAAAAGGCTTTGGGATGAAAGTATTCATGCTTAACTGTTCATTGTACACTGGCAAACCCTGTATGAACAGAGCGTGATTACGTTACTCATCTTAACCGCTCTTTACATAAAACATGGGAAGGCTCTTCATTAACCCTAACCCTCCTCAATCCTTCACCTGTTGGAGGACTGAGGAGGGTTAGGGTTAAGCCTCTTCGATCTGGAACCATAACCTGCAAAGGAGGCTACCAAAAGCTCTTCTGTCTGACTCCACAGAGTACATTGATTGATCGAGGCAAGAAGTTGGATGATTTGTAAGGTAGAACCATTTGTGCTTTCCTCTGACTGCATTATCTGATAATCTGACTCGACGGCCTTGACCCTAGGTTGTCACGCTGGATGGGAGAACACTACTTGACATACCTGCTGGGACAGGCCTGCATTGTGTGGACCCCACACCAGGGCCGTACAACGCCATGGCCGAAGATGGTTTCTCAAGTAAGTACATACGTGTACATCCACATTTGGATCCACAGTTGAGCCAGGTGATTGTATTGCGACTATCCCATATTTAGTTATGAGATTCATACCAATCTCCCTCGCCAGTCTACAATTGTCTTTTAGTTTAAGTGTTCCGCAGAATTATTTGTTGGACATATGCGGCATCCTGGCACATGTATCTCTCTGAGTTTGTGATAAACAGCTTTTTTTTAAAGCACTTTTAGACCGTCTTCTTTTTAATATCAAGCCTGCCCACTGAGGTTGATGGATGAAAACGTGTTCACATTATGCTCATAAATGAGATCCACGTGAGCAGCTCTGTAATTGTTCTTTGCTCTTGGGCTATAGGAGAGCAGTGGGAAAACTGTAGGGAAAATGGCCAAATTCTTTCAAGATATTAAAAACGGATCGGTTCTCTCATCTTTTTTCAGTAAGATTTTGAGCCGTCTCAATGGCAACGCATGATATGTATGTGTTTTGTTTATAAACTGGATGGCATTCTGTGATGTGCTTGTCAAGTGTATGACTGAACACATCTTATCCTTTGCATACGGGGTATCTGAATGGTTGCCGCATGTGTAACCAAATTGAAAATGTACAAACGCTTTACTTTTTTCCTTCGGAGGGATCTTCAATATTAGGACTGTTAGGCATTTTGGCAATTTTTTTTTTTTTTTTTACTGCTCCGGGCGTAGTTATGACCCATCCATTGCATTGATGACACTTGGTAGCTATTGTCTTTAACTTAATGGAGGTTCTGTTTTGCTTTGAAAGGCGTAATCATGTTCGGAGGGGGCGAAGTTTGTGCGTACCTGCCAGACGCCGGGGTACAAGAAACTCTCAGAGAGAGTGGGGATGATGCAATATGGAAACTCAAGTAAGTTAGTCTAACTTGAAACAATTCCATAGGGCTGTGCCGAATATCCAAATTACCCAATATTCGATAGATTGTCGGATATTCAAATGTTATTTTTCGAGTTTGAATATTTGAATGCAAAATTCATGAAAAGTAAGGGAAAATTTTCTTTTGTTTTTAAATGAGAAACATTGCACTATGTAGGTTCGTTTTAAGCAGATTCAAATGAAAAGCGTCAGAAATCTTACAGCAATTTTAAAAGCAAATTATTCATTTAACAATTTAAAAGGAATAGAAATTTTTGACAGGGCTATATGTCTTGTTCATCTCTTAAATCTTGCTAAATTGTGGCTGGAGATACTCCTAGATGTGAGAAGCTATGATGTTGATCACAATGTACAAATGTGTGTGTTATTGCAACTGATTTTGTATATGATTTGTACGTCAACAATCTGCTGGTTGGTACGACAGAATATTCAGATATTCGATCAAATTGAAGGTCGAATATTGTAATAGTGAATTAGTCGAATTGACTCAGCCCAACAATTCCATGCAGAATAATTCGCTGTAAATGTGACCTAATCAAATTGAAATGTTTGAATTGTACAGCCTTAAACCCTAAAAGAGCCAGGTCAGTGGGTAAATTCTATCCCCTCAACATTTTTCTAATGTCACCGTGGTGCGTCTCTTTATGAGTGGAGCCTTTAGGAGTTTTAGGGCAACTCTTCGTGGTCATTTTTACACCAATTTTGTGAAAAATCAGATAAGCATTCTTGCGCAGCATACTTTTTTTCAGACAAGTCAGCCAAAAATGTATATTTTTTCCACTGCCGTGCTTAATGCAGTTGAACTGTCAATTACTCTAACAACAAAACCATGAGTCTGATTGAGTTCAAACTTCACGTTTGTAATGATTATTAGTGTCTTTACATGCATGTCAAGTTTAACAAAAAAAGAATGGAGCATAGCGCAGCTGAGTCCTTGGGGGCTGGAAGACCTCCCCCCAACCAGGCTGTGATGAAGGCCAAAATAACCGAGCTGTTTGAGGGTTGAAAAGTCAGATGTTCCTTCAGCTGAACTCCCGGTTATCTGACTGTCTGAAGAAGAGTCCTTTCAATGATGGGAATATGCCACCTTCCGCCCAGCAGTTTTTGACAGGAAAGGGGGAACAGTTTGCATCCTCAGATGCCTCCTTGCCTCTTGGACCATTTAGTGGCCTCTGAACATTTCATGCAAAGGCTTTGCCATACAACTGAAAACATGTCTGTGTAGTGTCAAGCGAGGGCACTATCATAAAACGTCTTAACATCAGGGAATGTGGATATCTGAAAATGATGTTTGGATCCAAGGTTCTAGACCAGGAATTGAACTTCTAGTCCAAGCATAGCCAAAACTTTGTTTGATTTGGTTTTGTTATTCACCATTGGCCATACTGTGTTGACATACCCTCTTTATAACTTTTTTTGCTGTACATGAAAGATGCTATTAAACACCCATGCAAATATGTTTGGAAGTGGGAATAAAGGATAGATGCAAGGATAACCTGATCAGTCTGGAACTGAAATCCTTTTTTTTCCCCAAAGCGGTCTGGCATAGTGTAGTAGAAGGTAGTGAAGTGGGAAGGAAGCCTGAGAAACAAGGCCTTTGGGCTTGAATTTTGCTAGGGAATCTTAGTATGAGGACAATGGGGAACGCTGACAATGTTCAAATATTTAATAAAGGTTTTGAGTCTTTGTTTCTGTGAAATGTTTCAAGAGTTGAATATTTCTTTTAAAAGGTATACCTCCAACGGAAGTATGCTGTACACAGCCTGTGAGAACGGGGTAATAAGAAGGTATGTATGACTGCTTTTTCACCTCTCTTGAGATTGAACTATAGAAACTGGCAAACGGATGTACAGTAGAGTTTTGGCGATGAAGAACGCCAACAGGTGTCTCTTGTCGTTTGGTATACCATTCTTTCCAACCCTCTCCCGCTAATTTCGTAACGCTTTGGTCAGAAAAAAATTTGGACATCCGGGTTTAAAAAGCTTTTGTGTGGTCCCTGACCCCTATATCACCTGCACTGACCCAGGGTGCATCCAGGGGGAGGGAGTGGCCAACAGGGCCATGGCGTCCCCCCAAAAGGAACAGAAATGTTTTAAATAATGAAAGGCAATTTTTTTGAGTCTGTTTTATTTCACTCTCATCCAAAAGTGCTTAAAAGCACCCAAATGTAACCTCATTCCTCAGGTCAAAAGTTTACGGGAAACAATTTTGACAAAGTTTGGCCCTTCCCCAAAAGCAATTTAGCCTCCCCCTCCCCCACCGCCCTGAAAATATGGTTCTGGATCCACTGTTGGCATTTATGACCAAAGAGTAACGGAGTGGTGGGATTTGTGCGCATGTCTAAATACTGTGCCATGCCAGGCAAATGTCACCATGGCACAAAGTTTTCCAGGGAGAAATATGGTCATGAGCAGGAATTTGAATCTAGCAGCCAGCCTCCAGATGTGGCCTTAGGCAAGTCACTTTACCCAGCTTGCCTCTCTCTAGCTGGGGGCAACCTGCACTGGACTGGCATCCATCCTATCCAGGGGTAATATTCAGAGATTTTCAAAGCTGTTGTATGCCAAGAAAATTTGAAATAAACACTGGTCTGATAAGCCAAAGTGGCTCAAAATAGACTTGGATGTGGACAAAAAAGGTACTTCAGGTAATTCTCCATGTTGGTTTTAGTACTTTTATTTATTTTGTTGATGTACTATTTGTATTATTTTCCATTTTCTGCCCCAACATATTTTACCCTTCTGTAAAACGTCAATGACGTGGTTCTGATTCCCTTTCCTGAGTGTTCATTATTGTGAGTTGGGTTTGCAAAGCCTTCCAAAGTTTTACTTCAAAATTGTGGAAAATAAGCCAGATGTGACATTTTCACCAAAAGTTGTAACCATTTCTGTGATGGAGTTTAAAGGGGAACATGCCAATGAAACATCCGCATCTTAATAAGGCATCAACTTTTTTTTAAAACTATTGTGATTAGTTGATTTTTTTGATTAGTTGACCTTAAACCGATAACTCCGTGAAAACCACAGAACCTGATTTCCATATACGACAGTTCTCTTTGATCCTCCATACAACTGAAAAAACATGTCTGTGTAGTGTCAAGTGAGGGCGCTGTCATAAAACATCTTATTCTGTATGAGTTGGACACATCAGGGAATGTGGATATCTGAAAATGATGTTTGGATCCAAGGGTGTAGACCAGGAATTGAACTTCTAGTCCAAGCATAGCCAAAACTTGTTGAGCCTTTTTTTTTTTGCATGTACTGGTTTATTCTTTTCCTAAGTAATTGCACTTCTGGGAATTAAAATGAAAGTGTTTCATTCGGGGACTGCAAATAAAGTTTTTGCTATTAAAGTAGATCTTTAAACAACAGAAGGGGTTTGGGATCCTCTTTTTTTCTATTCCCGTAAAAAAGAAAGTTGAGGTCAGCCAATAACCACCACTCATGTTTTTTTAAATACATGTAGTTCGTTAACTTCCAAGTTCAACTTTGCAGAACGGATGTAGAACACGGATAAATGTAGGCAGTTTGTACTGTGTGCCGCGCCACCTTTTGTCAGGCGGTGTTTAGCCCAACCTAGGTAGGGATCCCCTGTTCTCAATTTACCGATGTTGGAGAATTTTAGGACTTTTTCCCTCAGAATTCATGCTGCCCATGCTGTTGCCCAGCTTGATCAGTCTCCAGTTCAAGATGGTGACGCCCACCCGCATATGTTACATATTGCTATGGTGAGGCTCGTATATTTCAGGAATATGACAGGTGTCCTGAAGATAAGCATGTATCCAAATGCCAAGCAAAAAACACTCCAGTGAATTCTTTCACGTCTGTGTAGTTGAAATAGGGACATATCTAGCTTTTGGTCGGGGGGGGGGGGGAATTCAAAAGCAAATGCGGCTTTGGTCTTATTCAACATGATGTGTGGGGAGGAAAAAGATCAAAAGCCCCATGCCCCCGACATTCTTGCTTTTATTTGCTGGTGTTGTTTCCTTAGGGTTCGGTGCTTTGATAAATAAATATACTGATTACTTTCTTTCCTACTTGCCTACAAGTATGAGGTTTTCTATGTAAAAAAAAAAATCCTTCGGGACTAGATACGCAAGTGAGTTAAAACTGAAAGTAGTTGGAAGGAATTCTTCAAGCCACATTGGAGCTGGCTTGTTAGCAGGTGCAGAATGCTTAATCTGTGCCCTGGACACAGCTCCTTGGGGCAGGTATTTGTGCCAGTGTTCAGTGGCGTAAACAAGCACCATTCAGTGGGCTAAAAGCATGATGTTTGCCCAGGATATTCCAAAAGAGGCACATGTGTGAACATGTCCACATATGAAATATGCACATGTTGTTCACATAGGTAGTGATGTCTATGTTTATACCAATCAATACACTGTTCAATTGTGGGGAGAGATTGCAAGAAAAGAAAGTTTTGGCTCCAGGAGGAGTGTCACTGTCGGGGGGGATAAGGTGCATTTGCGTTGTGTTTTTTTTTCCAATGTTTGTCAACTCAAAAGGGGGATTTGAAGCCCCCAAATCCCTTCTCGGATCTACCAGTGACCCGACTCCTGCTCCTGGCATTCCTTTTTGAAATTGATTGAACTAGGAACAAGACAACCCAACAAGGTTTCTTGATATATGTATACACCTGTCTATACTTTGCTGTCAAAGAGATGAATTTGTTGTCAACATCGGATATTAAAATTCTAAATTTGTCAGCCGCCCTTATTCACAGACAAGTGATTGGGTAAACATGCTATAATTTGCAGCACACTTGTTTCCGCATTCCTTCGTTGCTCTTTTCTAAATTTGACCTCTGACCCGTATTGTGTACTGTGATGAATAAAAAATTCTGGACGGTGACTGGCATGGGAATTTGTTCAAGGTGCCACGTCAACCACAAACACGGGTTGAAAAGCCCAGCCATGGATTAGTCCCCAACTTGCCCGAGGCAGTTTCGGAAGCTTGGCCGGGTTGACGCAGTAAACTGTAAACAGCAGTGGTCTCACTGCTGAATCTTTGGTTCTCACGGTAACACAGGTTTAGTCAGCCATTTCGTAAAGCCAGTGTTGTACTTGTACCCCGTTTTTCTCTGAACTCTACTTATTTGCTTGACTGCAACTGAATTTGCTTTTAAATGTTCAAATCTACCAAAATATTTTTGAGTTGTCAGTGAATGGCATTCCTTAAGTATAATTTTTTTTTTCAGCAAAACTTCTCAAAGTAGAGGTTATTGAAGTAGATGTCTCAATCTTACTGTTGGCTCTTGGTGGCAGTTATCCGGTTCACAAGGTTAAAAATTGTGTGTGGAAAAATGTTTGCACATTTGTCAGTATTTTCTTAAGAATTTTACCAAGGATATCTAATTTCAGCAATACATGATGGGCATACATGTACATGTGCGTACATGTATACTACTTCATATAGACTAGAAACCATTTACAAACATGGCCGTATACCAAAACATATGTACATGTAATCTACAAAGAAACTTGGAAGCAGTTCATTTACGGTGTACTGAATCCAAACGGGACTGATTAATGTGGCTGTTTTCCCTGCTGCCTCTGTCCATGAAGAAAGCTTGGCATATTTCTTCAGTTCATTAATCAGATTTGGTTGTCTGTGGCAGTGGGAACCATAGCCAAACTTAAAAGGGTTGCATTTTTGTAGCCACACCCCCCATCACGTGCTACTTTGGAATAACATACATGTATCAGATTGAGCCATTCATGACTCAATCTTGTATGACGTGTGAAGCATCTAAAAAGTACGTATTTTTGCAATTCAAGGTCAAGGTCATACATTGGCATTTTTTTTTTTGCGGTACACCGTATAGCTTTTGTATTTTATGAAATTAAGGCTATTTCAAGAGCTTTAAAATGATGTAAAGTTTATCTCTGCTGGTACTTTACCTCTGGAGACATGGCTGCCAAGCATAGCAGGTCATTCCCACGAGTCACAAGTTTGTTAACTCCTAACTTGAAGATCTTAAGACATCTGTGCTTGTAAGCAGGAGGATGTGGGTTCGAATGCCACCCCAGTAAGCTCGTGAACCGGTTGCTTTTCCACAATAGGGCTGAAATGTTTATTTTCTTTGAATTGCATGTACATGTAGTTAGTGACAAATGGCAAACTGAAGGCTGTAGCAATAATGTACATGTATGGTAATGCAAAGTGTGAGTTCACCCATCGGCATGTGCAGTGTAATGAGTATCATTGCTGTGGAGGTATGTGGCTGTGCAGACATTGTACAGTAATGTATGCGTGCATACATGTATCTGCCACACTTTCCAGTATGCATGTACTTCAACATCAGCGTGTACATGCACATGTAATGTGCCTATCAGATAAGACAAGATGAAAACTTTATTGTTCCGCCAGGGGAAATTCATGCGGCCTTTTGACAGAAAAATACACGACAATATGATTTACAGTAAGTAAAAACAATGTATCAATTATATGTGTACGCAGTGCCCTCGCCTCCCATCCCTTTCCCCAAGTGTCACATTTTTGGAGCCCCTGATAAAACATTTCTGTGTGTCATAAGCATATGTGGCCCATAGACTAGCGGGGGAGGGGGGGCGCAGGTGGGGCACACCATTCAAATGGTCACTTCTTCCCCCCATTACTTTCGTCCTCCGGAAATTTGGAAAACAGAGAAAATAACAGTAGCGTTAAGCAGACACTGGCACTTGTGCCCCATCCCACTGTGACACTCAGCTCTCCCGCACCCCCGCTGCAGCAAGAACCCTGGCTATGCTGTTGAACTTGGCAAGGGTACCCCAGGGATAGGGATTTTTGGCACTTTAAAAGAAGCCATTGCCACATCCTGGGGGCGTGTCCTTGGTAGAGGGGGCAGAGGAAGAGCTTGGAACAATTGATAGATGAATATGTAAATGGCCTTTGAAGTCAAGGGTTATATGAGCTTATGCGCTAGCTTTTATTTTGCAATTTACCATTCAAATAACTCTTAAGGATAAGGTGAAGTAACGAACAGCATGCGCTCTACGCATTTTGAAGTGTTTAAAATTTACAGGCTGTTATAATCTTTCCGAATGCTCCCTCTCGTTTTTACCAACGCCCCTTCGCAACTTCCCCTCACCCCATCCCACTACATGTTAATTTATTCCAAATGTTGTCCAGTGTTTGAAAACCCACCTTGGACTTTGAGTTTGATCACCTCGTAAGCAGTGTGAAATAACAGGGCTTATGGCTTCATTTATCCCAGAACAAATGCGAGTGTTCTCCATCAAAATGCACCCCTCTCCGGGCCTGTTTGTTTCACACCGATCTGGATCACGACCAGCGATCTATGCACTGGTTCGCACCACCCATTTGGCAAGATTTGGTGTCTGTAAACCAACGACGGGTCTGCGGGAAACAAACGCAGCCGCAGTTCTAGATTCAATTCAGATTGATGGCACAATTGCAGTTTCAACTGCACGTATTATTTGGGCGTGAGTACTTGCGCAGTGAAATGACAGATTGAAAGTACAAAGACTGACGATAGGGCACATTAAATCTGGAAATCATTTTTGGTTGGAATTTTCATGCCTGCACAAATTCCGTACAATTGAAATTTGAAACTCGAGCACATAAGCATTTAAAGAAAACGACATAATGATCTATGCAATTTGCTAGATCTAAACAAGATTCTGCTGGCTCATAAGGATACATGCAGCTCAACATTTGTACATGTGCAAAAATATGGTATCGGTACAAAACGTACATGTACATGTTTATACAGAATTTAAAACCTTAACACTTGTTTATGATTTCTTACATTACAAAACCCGAGAAATAATACACTTCATCATAAGCTTATTTACAGATCTATCACAGTGCCTTCTAAAGAACTGGGAACTTACTAAATAGGATGAAAATTGACACAGAATATATCCCCAATAAAAAAAAAATGAAAAGAATTTTGTACAGCAATACAAAACATTAAACAATATGGCTCTGTTAAACAAAAAAGTTTTCAAATGATCACAAAGATGTATGTTATCCTTTTTCTTGATAATAACACAAAGTTTCAAAACAACTGTAGAATTGAACTAAGTTATTTGTTGGCTACAGTTTGCACATTTTTCTAGAACCAGCCCAGCATCAAAAGCTACATTCTCAACGTACATGTAAGTTGTGTAATATGTTACCCATTGTTTGATTACACAGTGTATATTTAAAAATTACGGTAACACATCTTGTTGAACAGACGTAAAACGCAGTTAGGGTTCTCAAATTTCATGTCACATTTGTTTCAAGCTTTGACATCCGAACCGCTAGTGTAATGATCTATCTGCATGACATACTGCCACCATTGGGTTGATAGCACACAGGTCTGTGCATGTTTTTATGGCAAAATATGACCTTTTTGGTTAAAGGAAACCCCCCAAAGTCGGGTTAAGTGGAGCAGAAACAGATGAACATGTACCCAAGATGTGAAAAAGAACCCCTTTGGAATAAATGTTGACACCCTGCATGAACTCCAAAGCACACGCTCTGTTACCCTGTTTGGGAGAATCGGACATGCTCTGTTTTGGCCAGTGCAAACAGCACCGTCTCAGTGTGATTGCTGCTAGTTTTCAACTTAATGTTCATAAACCCTGCAACATTTTTGTTGAAAGAGAAATGCAGGTGTGTGTGGGGAAAAATAGGTTGATGGTTCCTCAAGCATCCTCTCTTAATGATGTCTTTTTTTCCCCACTGAGAGACTTGTTGTGCATAATATCTGGCCGGTTTCCTTCTTCCTGACTTCCTCTCCCACTCCGTCTTCCTTTGCGCCTCCACCATCATTTCAAACTGTTTGCTTCTAGTGCCAGTATAAATGACCCAAGCGCATTGGGCTGGAGAGTCTCATGTCTCATGTGCTGGAGAGTCTAGCACTGAAGAGACTAAATTCTACCACTGAAGACCAGAAATGAACCTCGGGTTTGGAAAAATCACCCATGTGCTTGCTTCATTTAATACAGTGTATACGCGTGGACAGTTTTGAGTATGACCATACCTATACAAAGGGGGTTCAATAGGTCTGTCTCTGAGAACTGCCTCATGTACATGTGTTGTGATGAAAGTATTCAAATATTCAGACATGCACTGTGTGCTCATTATGTACTGGCGTTAGTCTCTCCTTTTTTTTCGTTGTTTGTATCTACACTTTCAGTATGTCTTGTTTGGTCAAACTGCCATTAGCTACTGGCGTCTTGCCCTCATCCTCTGGCAGACTGAATCGGACTTTGCCGGAATTGGGTCCGTTTGTCACCGAGTGATCATGATTAGGCATGTGTCCGTTGCTCTCGATGATTCCGTTGATGACAGGGTCGCAGTCACACTTGGGACTGTCGAGCTCCTCGTAGAGGTGGCCAAACTCCCCAACATCTGGCCCATCATTGATGTCCTGGTCCACCAGCTTGGCCTCCAAGACAGGTGCGTCTGCATCGTTGGTGGGTGTGGTGGGCACCATGTAGTCACTGCTTCTCTTGTTCTCATCCCACTGGTCCAGCGGTATCTCAATGAGCGGTGCCTGGGAGCCCCTCTTTCCTTTCCCTTTCCCTTTCCCCTTGCTCTTCCCCTTGGTCTCCGGGATGGAGTAAAGAGCATCAGGTGGAATGGAGTACACTTCAGCCTCGTGGCTTTTGGTTGGGACCTGCTGCTTCCTGTTCAACTGTTCATCCTCATCTGGTAGCACCGCCCCTCGGTTATCATAGGTGAGGGAACCAGTGTACCTTATATGCTGGTTTGAGATCTGTCCTGTGCTGCTCTCACCTATCTCCAAGTCAGCAAACTGCACCGTGTCCTGTGTGGTCTTGAAGTCGTACCCGGTGAAGGACTTGGGCTTGCGATACTGCCACAGGATGACAAAAATGGAGGCCAGGATAAACAGGGTGCCAAAGAATGTGGCCAGGGCCGTGCCGATAATCTCGTTACGGTGCTTGGTCACCAGCGCTGCAATGCCATCATCAGTCTTTCCACCAGTTGTCACTTGCTCGCACTGATCATAGGTGGTGTAGCTTGGGCACATCTCCAGGAAAACAGTTACGCAGACGACATAGTTTGTTCCGGCGGTGAGATCAGTCACCACAAATGACATGTCTGCTTCCCCAGCCAGCTTGATGGTGGACTGGGATGACCCAAACTCTGTGGTCTGTATGATGTAGCCTTTGAGGTAAGGGTCATTGTAGCCTGTCCACTCCATCTTAATGGTAGTGTCTGTGATCTCGCCCACCTTCACCTGAATGGATGCGAAGGTGCACGGGGGTAGCCCAGTGGTTACGGAGGTTGGCTCGCCTGTGGTTGTCGGACCAGGGGTTGTCGGTATACCTGTCACAGTTAGAGAGAATGTTTTGGATGAAGCACCGTTGCTATTTCTAGCTGTGCAGTTATATCTTCCGCTGTTGACTGCTTCTGGCCTTTGGATGATGAGGACTGTACCGTCATCACTGGTGTACACATTCTCGGCGTTGCTTGTGGTGGAGACCTTGGAGTTATCTGGCTGGTACCATTCAATTTCAGGAGTGGGATCACCTCGTGCAGTGCACTGGAAGACAGTGAAATCATGGTAGCTGATGACTCTGCTGTCTGGCGTGAGGGTGAATATGGGTATACAGGCAAAATCCTCTTGTGGGATTGTGTAAGCCAGCCTTTCTTGCAGGGACTCAGGGGTGTAGCATTTCCACTGCGTTGTATAGTAATCAATCTGGTGGAGAGAGGTGTTTTTGAGCCAGTTGATAAAGTTGCCCATGCTGCAACCGCAGTTCCAGGGGTTCTGGGCCAGGACCAGAGTTGTCAGTAGAGTCAGGGGCGTCAATGTGGGAATGTCTAAATTGGTCAGACGGTTGTTGGCCAGGTTCAGGATCCTCAACTGCAAGAGGCCTTGGAAGGCAGTATCGCTGAGACTTGAGAGTTCCATGTTGGACAGCAGAAGCTCCTGCAGGGAAGACAGGTGCTGGAAGGCGCCAGATGGAATCTGGGAGATCGGATTCCCCGACAAGGTCAAGGTTTCCAGCAGTGTCAAGTTCCGAAACATCATCGGGTCTAGCCGGCTGAGAGCACAGTAGGAGATACTTAGACTCCTGAGCATGGGATTCGAGTCGAAAGCTCCAATGCTGATATCACGGAGGCCCATGTTGCTTCCGATGTGCAGGGTGCGGAGATTGGGGAGATTGTTGAGCACATTCTCGGACAACGCGCTCAACCGGTTGTGCTCAAGGTCAAGGGTTTCAAGCTCTGGCATCCCCCCAAGGACCAGGTCGACCGAGGTGAGCTGGTTGTTTCTCAAGTTCAGGACTCGGAGGTGGTGCAGGCCATTAAAAGCCCCGTCCGCTATGGACAGAATCCCACAGGAGACCAGGTGGAGGTTGATCAGATTGGGTAGGTGGCCGAAGGCACCCCGTGGCAGAATGTTGAAGGTGTTCTTGCTGAGGTATAGTGTCTGGGTGTACTCTGGGAGGTCGGGGGGAATACCTGTCAGACCTTTTTGCTCGCAGGTCACAGTACGTGCTGCCATGCTGCACGTGCACCTGCTTGGGCACGGTGGCGGTGGGGGTTCTGTTGGCGGTATTGTAGGAGGCACGGTCGGTGGCATTGTTTGGGTTGTTGGTGGCTGCGCGGTTGGGGCCATTGTTGGGGCAGGCTGCGTTGGGGGTTCCGTTCTTGCTTGTGTAGAGGGGTCTGGCGAAGCTAGTGTCGTAGCACTCGGTGCCGTTGCCGGGTTTGGGCTGGACTGCATTGAGGTAACTGGCATGGGTTGCGTGGCAGGGCTTGTCTCCATTTGTGGGACATTAGGAGTTGTTGGGACTTGCGGAGTGGTCATGGCAGGGGTCGGCGTAGTGGTGCGTCTGTTGGATATGGTGGGGATCTGTGCAGAGCACGGTGGAAGTTGGATGTACACTCCAATCAGTAGCAACATCTGAAGAAATGCATGTTTGGGAGCCATGGTGATGCGTCCTCACAGCAGAATTGATACAACTGCAATAAAACAAGAAGAGAAAAGCTCATTTATTTGTTGTGTGGATGCTTATAACAGACGGAGCACTCTTTAGTTTCTCGTTTAGTGTTCAATACCACTCTATATATACACATGTATGTGTATATTGCAGAACATAAAGCATCGCTAGTTTTTCGTTGTTGAAAAGTTCTTGTTAAAGCCCAGTTAAATGCCACAGTTGTCTGTTTTCTCAAGGATGTACAATAGAGAGATGGTTACAGTGATTTTTTCATGTACAGTCACCAAGCTAACGTTCTTGTCTGTCTTGTGACATTTACCCCCGTGCTCCCAAATCCTTCAAAATCCTCCAGGATGTTAAAGATTCTCTGGATTGAGGAAGGAAGATCCCAGCCACTATTTCTTAACATGACACTTATGCTACTAGGTGAATTTGATAAATCCATAGATGCAATTTCAATTTTATGAAAGCTTTTTTTTACTGTATTCAGCATACATGTACATGTTCATGTATGCCATTAAGTTTTCTGCACAATGGAGGTTACGAAGGATTCGGGAAGATTTTGAGCAAAAAAACTTTGCAAAATTCGGCTAAGATCTCAACACTTTTATTTAATGGGCTGCTGGTCACATTTGCTTGTTATTTGAACTGAACCTTGTGACTTAATGTGTGCTAAACTCAACAGCAAACATTGCCATGCCATATGAGCAGATCCAGACACCTAGGCACATGTTTGACTGGAAGTTTTTTGTCACCAGTCAACAAGAAGAGGTCAGTCATAAATATCAAGGCTGCCCATCCTTTTGCATGCATTGTTCTCTAGGTGTAACAAAGGCTTCTAGTACCCGTCACAAACTGACATGTGTTGGTATCCAGCCTGCTTCACTTACCCCCGAGCAAGTTATCTTTTGTCATAGATTGGTATTTCTGTTGATTGTCGCCTATGAAGGCCTCTTTTTTTTTAGCAAGTTTCACAAAACTAGAATGGCGGCATTATATTAAAGATTCTTTGCAAGTTGTTGTACAAAATGATGTAATCTTAGCTGCTATAGGTGCCTTTGTGTGCATGGAAACTTCTTGTACAGCGATGCTGTGAAGTAACACTTTGAATTGCAGTCAGATTGATTGGGAATGGAGGCCCAGCCCATTTTTGGTGCATTATGGATTTTGCCTCAGAAGAAAACAATATACAAACAAAAGTTTTTCAGCAAGTTTTAGCTAATGCTGGCTGTAGTCAAATTACAGGTGATAACTAAAAAGTCTTGAACAAGTGGCAACCAGTGGCCAAGGAATGTCTTTATCACAGTTCATTTAATCAAATTTTCTCTTGAGATGTGACGATGTGTTGATGACCATGAAAAAGGAGTCATAAATTGCATGGAAAATCTGATAGTTCATCATATCAAGTTTTCCAAGGACACAATAACATTTGATTCCTGTATCATACCAAATCAATCTCTACTTTTAGAATACATGTACTAATCTCTGGAACCTTTTCCATAGTGAATCTAAGTCCATGAGAAAGTTCTGTGGGTGCTTTTCTAGCGCACAGTGCATGTGCATGCCCATGGTGCATGAAGTCTTAGTAGGCTGGGGATTAAGACAGATCGGCATTCCTCCATTCAGCTGGGTGCGAGGCAAGCCCCACACAAACGGGACTGTGCATCCAGACAGGATTTCCAGTGGTTTTTATTGATCTTTGTGCTAACCCAACATTAACTCTCCTGGATTGCGAGGGGATTAAGCCAATCTTGCATTGGAAAATATTCACCTAGCACTGACCCCCAGAAAAAGTTATTGCTGGTTTAATGTCTGAAAGTAAACCAGCATGTGGGCTGGAGAGAAGAAGGGTAAATATGGACGAGAAATGGTTTATGCATAGATGTACTTCATTGCATATTCACCACTTCATACAGTTGACTGTACATATGTGTCTGTAGTTTTTTGTGAGCCACTGTGATATGATGTTCTGAGTTCCTTTGAAGGGTGAAAAAGAGCATCTGTTGTCCTTTCTCAAAATTTCAACCCTGTTTCATGGTCGAGTAATATTTGCACTTTAAGCTCAGCAATATATTTACGTCAGGTAATGTGAAAGAGAGCGTTGGTTTAGTTCTTCAGTACAGTCTGTATCCGGCATTTTGTCTACATGCAATGTATCGTGTCCAAAATTCACTTGAAGAAGAGTGGATAGGCAAATAATCATCCGAGATAAAAATGCAGGGTACATTGGCGCTACCTGAAAAAGACGCAGCAATGATTCAACATGGGGTGTTGCTCGTTTACTCCAATGATAGTGATACATCAAAGTCAGCAGTCATGAGCAGTGGAAGTTGATTAACATATTATTGATTGGGGAGTTGTTCTCAGTGGCAGGTGGGAAAGTGACAGGCAACACACCATGGCTTGTATCTGCAGCGATTGTGCAATGCCCGTTAAGATCTCAAAAAATGCAATATCAAAGTCACGCCTCTACAGAATAATGCTTTTCCAGAGAGTCTTACGTACATTCTTTCTGGTCAGTGATGATGTCAGGTTCTCTCTATTTCCTCTTTTTATTTCAGTTGTCAAAGAAATCTTCAAACCCTGGTTAATTCTTTTGAGTTCTCATTTGTTGATGAGACTGTTACCTCATAATTTAGCAATGTAATTTTGTAGTCAGTGATTCAGAAAGGTCAAACTTTTTTTGGCCTTGGGCTTTCTTTTCTGTGTGATGGTCTACCTGATCCCCTGTCAACTTTCAATTGAGTGGCTTTCCTTCAAATTAATCAAAAATAAAGTAAGACACATTTTCATTACAGCAGACATGAAATGTATCTGAAATTAATTTCATTTTTTGATTTTCTGATTTTAGATGAAAATAACTGTCAGAGTGATCATCAGCTTTGTCAGTTTCCTTCAGAATGATTTTGATAAATTTTGATTTTCATGAGACTGAGTAATTCTGATTTAGTCTCAGTCCTAAGCTCTCTTGTGCAGATTGCACGAACTGATACACAAGTTAACCTTGAGAATTGGTACCGGTGACTGTTTTATTTTTATTTTCAGCAGTGGACAAAAGTGCAGAAACGCACAGAAATCCTGTCAAAAGAAAATGTGCATTGGAGTTTGACGTCAGTTTCCCTTTCAACACAGCTATGCCGGGAATGTTCCTGTTATTGGTCAAGTGCACGAAATTTGACCCTTTATTGGCAGCCTGTGCGTGTGGAAAAAGGAGGGAACAATAGGCAAAGAAATGCAGTAATTGACAGGATATTAGGTCTGATGCTGGTTAATCCGTTTTTTCTTCTCTCTCTCTTTTTTTTTACCTTGTGGAGTTTTAATGAGGAGATTGGAGGACTAAGGGATTTAGAGTGTTGTGATGTGAATGCTGGGTTAGTTGCATTTGGTTGCACACAGTAGAACTTAACATCATGAGGTCAAGCCATTGAGAATATTTTAGACAACATATGACTTTTCCTCCGATCAGACAACTTTCTTGTTAGATTTATCCTTCCCATTGGTGCCATTCAAAACTGAAAGACGCAGAAAGGGTTTTTTTTCCCAGGGGATTAATTGCATTCAAACAAATAATCCATTTGTAAATGCTTTGTAGTTTCCTTCAAATATTTTTCTTGGGCCAGCTCCTCCGAAACCACACTTGAATCTGATCGTTTTACAGGTTGCCATAAAAGCTTCATGGAATAAATGTCAGATGGAGACATTATGTCCACACAGCTGTTTATCACGAACAACACCATGAGCAGCAAAGCTCAACAGTTGACCTTTTGGTTCAATCGATACTACTATGTTACCTAACGGAAAGAAAATAAATAAAATTGCCATCAAGGTACCTTCAAATGCAACCCCTGACATTACCTCGTTATCCTGTGGTTGTCTCACTAATCATTTTGTTGTTGAATTTTCATCCAACTCAAGTACACGTAAGTACTTTAAGATTGTTGCTTGTATCATGTAGTCATTTCTACAGGGAGTTTTGGTCATCATGGCCACTTGCACGTAAATGAAGGTTTGATTTGTATAAGTGTGTTGTGTAGTCGAGGTGCCTATGCCTGTATTCCGAAGTACTTAGTTCAGAGTGAACAAGGAACTCATTATCAATAGTGCAATTTGCTGCCGTGGAATTTTTTTGATTAGGTTCCAATCATGATAGTCCTTTGCAGGTAACAACGGCCACTGTGCATTTAAGAAGTCTGCCCCCCCCCGAAAGGAAGATGCTGGGTGCAAATTTTTAGGAGATTAAGTGTAATGGAAAATTAAACATGGAGCTTGCTACCTTGAAATACATGCTGGTGTTAAAAAAATTGCTGCTATTTTTGTGACATCAGGAGAGGATATATTTAATTTACTCCTAATTAAAATTAGCATATGCTGGGAGAAAATTTATAAATAAATAATAATACATGTAGATGGTTTTAATAGATGCTTTTGTTAAGTTTTAAAAAAATTCAAACCGAAATTGTATTGCACCATTTTAATTTTTATTTATTATTATTTATTTAATTTTTAAATACTTAACAATTACCTGATTACTATGGATAGTCAGGGGTTGGTTGTGATATCCCTCCCAACCCAAAAAAACCTTTTTCTACAGAAGTTACATCTGATCTGTTCAGATACTGTGTCATCTAAATTGATTCACTTTGAGTGACTGCAAACAGGAGATGACAGGCATCAAGCCCCCGCATGTTCACATCTATCAAATTAAATGTCATATCTGACAAACCGCCGACTAGCCTCCCATAAGGATAACGAGGACGAGGCCCCACCATTAAGTGATTCCAGTCCGTTAATGTGCCGGGGCCGGACATTTGTGTCGAACAGTAATGGAGGAGCTATCTTGGGTACTTGTCAAGTGGCTGTGTGGCAGCTGCGAAGCATCCTGGACTTAATGGCTCGTGGCTCTATGGTTGCAACATTTCGTTTGTTGGGTCTTTTGTACATGTAGGGTGAAAAATTGAAAGCCATAGTTTGCATTCACTGATGGGGCTGTTGTGAAGCGGTGTGCTGTGAGAGAACCTCTTGATATTTTACTTGCTAATTTAGGTATGTTTAAGTTAAATTCAACGTAATTGTCTGAAATTCAGAAAAAAAAGTTGGGGGTACCATCTGTGTAACTTGAAGACAGCACTGTTAAAACAAACCCCCCCAAAGAAAAGGATGCATGCAGCGCTTTTACAGATTACCCCACTACCTACATGTACATCGCAAGCACCACAGTATCACGGACATCTGGCAGAAATTGCACCTGTATACTTAAATATTTAAGTATTGCCACAAAGTGTGGCTTTTTCTTCAAATATGTAAACAATTTTATTGCTTCAGTGAACAAGTGGCACAACAAATTAATTTTCCAGAACTTTACTTCTGAGGAAGCTGGGTTATTCCAAGTACTTGTAACACCTGTAATATACCAAATAATTTACCCCCCCGTCACCCAGAGTGCATGTATATTGCAGTCGCAGTTGAAATCACTCCAAAGCTGTTCCTTTTTTTTTTTGGTGTAAATTGAGGTGGACACACAAAAACACATCAGTCACAAAGGAAAACTAAATGAAAAGTATGAAAATGAAAGTGAAGTTATCATAATTACCATTGTTCTTTGATACCCAATCCACAGGTCTTGTTATCATGCACCAGTTCAGTGTTGAGAGTACATGTGTATATAACCAGCCTTTGGGTAGAGTCAGAATATTTGAACACTGTTGTTACGCAACTTTGAAGCTCTGGTAAGATCGTAACTGAGTAAGTTGCTGGTAGTACATTTGCTCATTTCAACAGAAGCCGAGCGATTTAATTTCTTTAAAGACAATCTCTGTAATGGCACAAATGGAAATGTCGTTTCCTAGAAAACCTGAAAAGTCTGCTGTTCACAAATTTCATATCCAATGTTACACCCAGCCTCACTATATTCATGGGTAATTTGCTTTTCAAACTTGCTGAAAAGATTTCAAATGTCATGTAATTCTGGTTGTAAGGAAAACTGAACAAATCAAAGAAAAAGACTGTTTACACATGCTGTAAGTTGTCATTTAATACCAAGATTTGTGTATCAACTATCCAGACCAGGAGTTACATCTAGTCATAGAATACACCCCAACTCCCCCCATATCTAAACGTTCACCTTACAAAAACACCAATGAACCTCGGCACACTGCTTTGGTAATAGCCGGTTAGGGCATTGAGTTTCTAAGCCTAGACATCCAAAACTCACCAGTTTTATTGGACTAAATCTCAAGACAGACGGCCCGACCAATGTATTTCCTGTCAGGGAGATGTGACGCCAGCGGTGAAATACCGTCCGTCTCTAAGAAAAAATATTTCTCCGAACTTTCACTACGAGAGCATGGTCCTCTTTAGACCCGTCCTCATGAATATCGCTGGCCTGTGCAGGCATCAGATCATCAGTCCGTCATTGTGCAACAGGATGCATGTACGCAGCTCACTGCCTGCAGTTTTTCCGCTGAGAAAAAAATAAAGCCACCCCCATTGTCAACAAGGTCCCCCTTTTCAGTACCCCATTGGCTTTGGGCACACAAAAGCCAGGACCCATGGTAGGGTAGGCAGCGTTTGCATATCAATGGTGGGTGAATTCCATCGGGTTGGCCCCACACTGTGAACCCAAAAAGGGAAAGCTGCAAAGGTTCCAGCAGGGGACAGGATCTGTTGTTATGCTAATGAACCCAATCCAAGGAGGACAATGGCGAGACCAGTGATGTCATCCTTAGTGATCTTACTGTACCCATATCATAGGTGCTTTTTTTTTCCTTCTTTACTGAGGTGTGAATGGGTATGTGTGTTTGTGTTGGGTGGGGTCATTTTTGTGGTGCCCATTTTGTCTCTCACCCACATTTTAAGGAAGGGCTCGTTGATTGATTGTGTTTATTTCCCTCCTTTAATGAGATGCTGACTCTGCCAGCATCATTCCTAGGCAACGGTTACACGCAGGGCAACCTGCACTCGTGAGTAGGTTATTATGGCCGTGCAGTTTGACACTTCCCAATACCCTTGAAAGTGAAAGCTGACAACTCGTTGAGCAGAACTGGGCTTAACATTGTCTGTGTCATGATGACAAATTCAGTGTTTTTTGTTTGGTTTTTTTTTGTTTTCAGTTTTTGGCAAGTCATTCTAACCGATTCACATAAACTCCACCAAATTGACTGGATGTATGTATTCAAGGCACAGGCTGTACTTGTGTACAAATGAGCCAACGTTTTGAGAAAAAGAGTTTAGTTGGTATTAAATATCCGTCATGTACAACCCCTCCATTTGTAACCCAAACAGTCCAGCATTATTGAATTTTTGTTCACTTTTCATTTGCCCTCGGAGCCAGGGTTTCAAGAAAGACGCCTAAAACTTTCTGCCGTTCACAGAGACTTCTTCACACCAAATATTGTCAAATATCACTTTGTCATTATCAATTTTTTTACCCACATACCCGTAAATACACAGTGTATATCACTGTTATGCCATTGCAGGCTCTACTGCATGTATGTTTTGTACAGAGTATGGAGGACCCTGTGTCCTGCCTTTGCTGTGGAAAGTTTGTGTTTTGCGATCACAACTTTCATCCCGTACAAAGTCTGACATGGCGGGCCATTCAATAAACCAAATGTAGTAATAGCCCAGAAAACTCAGATAATTATTCATCTGTGTCTTGTAATTACAAAATAAACTGTAACTTAAATTTTTAAGTATCAAGGACAAACTGTTCTGAATGCTGTTGGAGAATTCCAGAGTGCCAGAGATGTCCTTCATTTTTTTTGTCGTTTCCTTTGTGAAACATATTTTTGGATACCAGAATACTGGGCACTTTGTGTGAGTTACTTGGAATGGAGCTCCCCCCTTTGAGGTTGTCGCCAGTCATTGTCTGATAACCTTGCCAGGTATTTACACAGCAAAGAGGCAAAGGTGGCGGACCAGCCGGCTGCATTGTTGAACTTCTCTTCTACCAGTCGGCTATAGCTACAGTTTACCATGCAACATGATCGTACAGAAAAGCTGGAAAAAAGGAAATTATTTCTTTAGTTGGTGTTTTCCGTTATTGCTACTCTGAAGCTTTGATTTAGGAGTACCTCTCTGTTTTTTTTTTAGGGAGAAACTCCATCTTGCTCTATTTGTACCCAATTTATGTTGTTTGTCTGAAAAGAAATATGCTGTTTGAATGAGGAACATCAAAACTCTTATTGCTACCTAAAATATAACAAAATATACATGTATATGGACTTTTTGCTAAGAATGCTGGGTATTGTTACAGTGTAGATGTCTTTATAGAAGTGACAGTTTTAATGATTTTGTACAAAATAATTATTACCCCAAGAAAGTTAAGCTTTGTAGAGTCACGTAAAATTTTCAAAATTTAATTTCCTTTCTGAAAAAGCCCCTCATCTACATTAATTGATTTGGTTGCTCTCTTTGAATAATTTTCATTTCGTTCTTTGCTGCATGATCTTCACACCAATTTTAACAGCCACAAGAGTTAGTTTCTATCTCAATGCCCATAATTTGTTCACTGTGATTTGTAAGGTGCATATTTCTTTTGAAAAACCAATGGTTAGTTGAAAGACCTCCAATGCAGTTTGCATTGGAGTTACCTATTCACCAATCCTATTTCTTCTTCTTGCCCACTAGATATCGACGGTACCCAGACCGACACAAATACCTCGGGGAAGTGTTCAAGCACAAGGCTGATGTGCAAGATATGGACATCTCGCCCTATGACGAATGTATCCTTTCAGTATTAATTTCTGAGATTCTTTCATTATTTTGTCAAACAAAAGTGATCTCCATTGTTCTTAATGGTGTATAGCTATCAGCATTGTATTACGCATTGCCGAAATTGGCAATACGTACATACATTGAAAAGGAATATGAAAATTGTACCCATAAAGCTCACAAAATTGACAAGATTTCTCATACTGTTTGCACCGATTTTTCCTCCTTTTTTTGAAGAAAATACTGAAAATTTATCCCCTTCTTTCAAGAAAATACTGAAGGTTATATTACTATTGATATTTCTGGTAATGAAACCAAGGATCCCCCAAAAGCGCCTTGGGCACTGTAGCTCGCAAGCCTGGAGAAACCTGTAGAAATAAGACAACGAGAACCAGTCACAGGAAAACCAATAGTATCCTGGGTAAAATCCGTGGAGTAAGGTAGGAACTGAAACCCAATCCACTCGTGGACTGAACTGGGAATTGAGCCCAGAGAGGAGGGAGGCGAGGCGAGGCGAGGCGAGGCAATCACCGCTACACCAACCTGACTCCCCCCCCTCCCTTTTAAGAAATGACAGAAAATTGATCTACCTCTTTGTGAGAAATTACTGGAAGTTACTGTGAGAAATTACTGGAAGTTACTGTGAGAAATTACTGGCAGTTACTGTGAGAAATTACTGGCAGTTACTGTGAGAAATTACTGGAAGTTACTGTGAGAAATTACTGGAAGTTACTGTGAGAAATTACTGGAAGTTACTGTGAGAAATTACTGGAAGTTACTGTGAGAAATTACTGGAAGTTACTGTGAGAAATTACTGGAAGTTACTGTGAGAAATTACTGGAAGTTACTCCCGGTAAGCCATGACATTTGATGTGGTGACTGTTGGGGTATGACCTCAGTTTTGGTCCTAACAGTTCAAGCAGTTTAAAAAAAAAGTAAAAACTAAAGTAACAGATCCAAGAGTTTTCATAGGGGGCCAGAGTGGCTGAATTTCAGTTTTCAAAGCAATGGATGGAAAGACTCAGTATTGTATACGTTACATTAAAACAAAAAAGTGAATGGTTCACAGTGGTCAGATGGACAAGTGTGGTCAGGAACCCCAACGGAATCCTAAATCTCTCCCTGCATGTTAACATGTTACCATAGAAATTACTGTTGAGTGTTTTTTCATTTTCCTTAACCGTACTGTGTCATTGATATTTAGACTTGGTGACAGCCTCGAAGGACCGGTCTGTGGGGATCATCAAGTTGGGTCTGCCGAATCACGGGTGCACGGAGTACGGTGAATTCACATGATAGCCATGCCAGGACCTCAGCTAGACTAGCAGATTGACAGTTCTTTTTTTCTTTTTTATTTAGATTAGTTGCCATGGTAACCTAGTGTTACAAGTTGCCCGGTCACGGAGCCTTTGAAATTGTGAAAGAAAAGCCAATGGTGATGTTGTAGTTACTAGTGAGAGATCAGATAAAACCTAAGAAGTCTTGTAATATGTTTGTTTGTTTGTTTGTTGGGGTGTTGGTGTGTTTGTTTGTTTGTTTTGTTTGTTTGTCAGGTTGTTTGCTTGTTGTTGTTGTTTTTCCCCAGCCTGAAGTCAGATTTTTGAACAGAACTGTGCAAAGGCTTGCCCAAAGCAGGACTTGTGTTTGTCAAGTTAAATTTTCATATGCACTTTATGCCAATATATTGGCTCTGAAGCCTGAATGATTTCATCAAAGATTGCTTGTGCTTTCTGGTAACCAAAAGCTGAAAGGTTTAAACCAAGGGAGTCACATTTTGGTGTGCACTGGAATATTATGTTACTTTTTACAGAGAGGGAGGCCTTCAAAAGTTTATCAGTTTCAGTGCATATCATAGCCAAAATTTTGTCATGGCAACATACGGTCCTATATCATACACCAAACCTGCCATGCAGACCCAAGAAATAAGAAGTTGGACTCATCAAGTGCCTATAAATTTTTTCATCAGTCCAACCCGGTGTGGCTGCATTAGAGCAATATTCATTTTGGTTACAGTTTGATTCGGTTGCCTGGGTTACCTATCCGTTGTGGTCGCCTTTGAAGCAAACAGCAAGTGCAGGGGAACGAGTTTGTGAAGTAAATTGATGTTATTGAGCATATGAAAACAACTGCCGCAACTCTTGATTTGGGAGAGAAGAACGGCCACCAGTTCCATGAAATGTAAATCTACTCAAATATTTCCGTTCGTACTTTGTTTTTTGGTGTATCTCTTGTGGGTCAAACACAAGTTAATAAAAGTTTGAGTTGAACATAGTGCTGGCACAATTCCCTGTTTGGGTGGGATTGAGGAAAGAATGATTCAAACTTTATACTTCAGGTTATTTGAGAGAGGTAAAAGAGAATGTTGAAATGTGTAGACTTGGAATGAAATGTAACAGATTTGCACAGAACTCAAGTTTGTAAATATTAACACTTGTAATCAAAAGATGACATTGAAGAGTTGGCCGTGGAAGGCAACTGATCAGGCTCTCTGGTAGATCCACATGACATGTCGGTAGAAACGTAAAGGTAGCTCATACAAAGGAAATTTCATGGGGAGGGGGCTAAAATGAACCTGTTCGGGATTTTCCTGAAGTATTACTGCAAAGAGTATTGGGGGTGGCCGTGATGGCATAGTTCCAGCTCAGTTATCTGTTTCAGTGCATATCATAGCCAAAATGTTGTCATGGCAACATATGGTCCAATATCATACACCAAACCTGCCATGCAGACCCAAGAAATAAGAAGTTCAGCTCAATAAATCCCTGTTTCAAAAGTTATGCACTTCTTGTCATTTATGAGAAAGTCAATTCTGACAAATCCATGGTTACAGGAAACGGTAAAGCAAGCTCAACTGCATTGACCAATTTGAGATGGTACATCAAGTCATGAAAGTGAAACATATTTTGAGACGAGCAAATTTCTTGGTGCTTGTTTTGCAATTTCCCACAGCAAGCTTTCTTTGTCAGGGATTAGTTGGTTTAACAGGAAATGTTAAAGTAATCTCGAAGATTACATTTTTACTTTAAGTTCTGGAATATAAATCTTAATTTTCTGTCTAGTTGTTTGAGTCTACAAGAGAGCCTGACCAAGTGAAATTCGGAGTGGAAGAAACTTTTTTTGGTTTTCCAAGTTTTATTGAAATGTAATCATAGGCACATATTTGTGATCTCAAAGAGTAATTTTTTTTTGTAAATACAATCGGAACAACAAACAAGATCTGCAGTATTTTGTATTTGATACACATTGCCATTATAAAAAGCACAACTTTGTTGAATGAGATGAAAGGAGTAAAAGTGATAAATTTCAGAGGAAAAAGAAGTGTGAATATTAATCCAAAGGTTGGGGAATGTAGCCTACTGTTGTTATCATCAGAACACCGGTATAAAAATGTCAACCACTGGCTCGGCATATCTGGGAGGGGAGAACACCATAAATACATTTTGAAATAAAAACACTTAAGTCTGAGTTGAGTTTGCATTGATGAATTCCCATGTATGAAATTTAAGAGGAACCATCAAATGTATATTTGCATTCTTAATATCAAATACAGAGTGCATGTCAACTTGTGAACGGAAATTTCTTGGTTACTGTGCCAGTTCGCCCTCAGTATTGGAAGTCTTGAGCAACACCTTTTATCTGGAACGATAGCCCCCACCCCACTCCCAAATGGTGCTCAAGTCAAAAAAACTTCACAAGACGTTTCTATTACTCTTTTGGATCAGTTCTCAACAGTCTAATACACAGATCGGTGACATCTTATTCAGGGAACATTTCATGTTTGCCAACAGTACTGTACTGTTTGTCTAACATCTTCACATATCTTTCAGCTGCCTGAACTATCTTGAGTGCAATGGCGGCATTACAGAGCAATGCAAATGACTTAAGTGCATCTTTAAAATTGAAGAGGAGTTTTTTTTTTTAATGTTTAGTTGTCTGTTTTGTCTTGGTATGGAGTTCATTATTTGTTAATGATACACTATGCCAAGTTGACTCATTGTCATAGCTGTTTTCTTGGGTATCAACCTGTAAATGTTTTCAACAGAAGTGTGAGCATGATGCAAGAATGATGTTGAAAATCTGTCACTGAAAGCATTGGCAAGAGTAGAACAACTCATCAGTCCAGATGTAACTTGGGATTTTTTTAGGGTTGATTAAATACTCTTAACTCGGATCAGAAGGACTCGTGCAGAGGGTTAAATCTAAAATATTCTATCAAAAGCTTTCTTTGGACTGAACAGTCTGCAGTGAGAGAAGCCGACAAAGACTGGATATTCATTGCATAATTATTTTGGTCTCGGTTGACTAGCTACCACATTCCCAATGTGGGCCACAGCTTTCACACCTTTGAGTGTGAAGCCCCCCCTTCCTCGGAATGAGCCAAGGCAAGGTTGTTCAGCTTTGCATTCCGCTGAATTTTTTTCCCACCGTAGATGGGGCTTTGCCCAGAAGAAAAACTTCCAGTTCAGTTCAGAAATTTAAAAAAAATGAATGGAAAAGACAGCCCCCATAATGTGAGTCAGTATTATTGGACTGTTGATGAATTAGCATAACAGTGTAACAGTGTAACATCGGCCTTCTCCTTGAGCTTGGTTATGGTCTTGTCTATAGGCATTGTGTGAGCTCTCAAACCTCTTTCACCCAAAAGACACACATTTATCATCGTGACAAGGGTAAAAGGTGAAAAGCCCTCTTTTCAGTCATGAAGGTTTTGTCATGTATTCACCACAGCTGGGAAAAATGTGGCATGACCCATATTTTCAAGGTGTTGTTCTGAAAACTCTGGTACACTTGGTACATGTATTTCTGACACTCAACTTCCGGGTGGAAAAAGTTCTACCTAATTCATTCAACTGTGACTCTTGCTGTTGGTTTCTGAAGTTGGTGTCCAGGCCAGTGTTTTCACTGTCTATATCTAGTTGACTGGAATTTTTTTTTTGATGACCGCGTACAAGTGGAATAAGAGAATGAATATTCAAAGTATTTACTCATCAACATCATATAATTTAAAGAACACTTTAGAAAAATTTCGATTTCATTTCAATAAGTATGAGCCTTACAACATAAAAAAGGTGCTATAGTTATGTAATATCAGATTTTTTCCCCGTCAATTAAATGCATCTTTCATTATCCGAAGTAAACCACAAGAGAAATGGAAAGTGACAAAGGAATGCCTTTTGTCACTGTTTGTCATTTAAACAGCATGACACCTTAATGACAAATTTGATTCTATGCCATTAAATGCACAGCAAGTACAACTTCTACAATTCCCTCAAAGTAGGTGGAAAGTGATCACAACAACTCAAAGATATCACACTGATTGTTTGAGAGATTTTCGGTGGGTGTGTAACAAATACGCATAGAACAAAAATTAGTCGTACTAACTCATGCAAGACTTGTGCAAGCAAGCGCCTCAACTAGCTCATTCTTCTCAGGAAACCAACACTAGAAAACACATGGGGTTGAAGGTATTAGGACAGTAATGTGCGGTATCCCAAAATCTGTATTTGGGCAGTATTCTGACCTCCACGCCTCAACAGACTACAGTCGAGCCTCGTTAATAAATGCACTAATAATACAAGATTCTGCTAAAGACAAGGAAATTGTCAGGTCCCAATCCTTTTGTTTTCATTGTTTTCATTCCTGATAATACAAGTTTCCTGTTGAAACAAGGTAATTTTCGAAGTACAAAGGACCTCTTATTAACAAGGTTCGACTGTAACAGGCACACAGGTGTTTGTAATGTCAAGTGTAAGTGAGGTGAGGGCCCCGCTTGCATTGGAAACTCCATTTGAATGCTCTGAAGACAAAAGAAAAAAAAAATCAGTAAAAATTTAGGGACAAGGAACAAGATCCATAAACCCAACATATCCGTACGTGCGGCGGCGGAACAGTTTTCAAAGTGGGTAGGGGGCAGTTAGACCATCGGGCATCAGTCTTTCCATTAATAGGTTGATCCATTAGGACCTTCACGCCCCCCTTCCGCCGCCAGTGATCCATACCCGTTTTCCATCCAACAATCAAACCATGGCAGAATTGTAAGTTCTGTGAGAACCACTGTACAAGAACTAGTGTCTTAACGAGCATGTACACAGGGGATCTGCCTGTACTATTTGCCTGGATTCAGAAATACCTTGTTAGTAAAGAGAGCTGTGTATAAACTGGATGCAGTTTGTCCTCTGTGAGTTGAACCTATGAAAGAGTTTCTCAGAGTTTTCTTGCACGGCAGAGTCTACAATATTTGCAAGGTACTATGGTTGAAACAGGTGGTCTAAAAGTGTTGTGTTCAGCGGCAACTCTATTATGAACTCAACTACTATTTTTGTGATACAACAACATTCAAAACTGTACACTGTTAACTGCTATTGTGACTGGAATACTTGTAAATTGGCGAGCCAATTCTTGAAATGGAATTTGTATCTGTTTTTATGAAATAAAAAGAAATTATAATCATTTAAAAACTTCATCAGGTTTGTGGAATGAGCATCTGAGTGTAAAGCGTATCCGTAATAAGCGAATAGAGATGCACTTGGACAGTCTTAAATGAATGTTGAAGACTGATCAGGAGAATCTGAAGGCAGACACTATCAACAACCATTCACCTGAGTTGATCTTTAACTTTTCAAAGCAAAGCATTTAACAGGTTGGTTTTACCTTTATTCTTTGCTTTGTTTGATAAGGTCTGTCAACCTGGACAGGTGCTGCATATTCTGGTTTTTATTTTAATTTGAACACAAGTTTGCATCACAAAAATCGCACATACTCTTAGTGTCTCCCTGCATGCTGATCTCTGACATGCAGAATTTATCACCTTAAGTCTGGGCATACATGGTACGAACTTCAATCTATTCTGCAGGAGACAAAAAAGGCAGTTTCAAAGGGTCTGGCTACAAAATCCCTGATTCTTAAGCCCCGAGCAAACGTGGTGGCGTGATGACCTTTGACCTTGCCATCACCTTGGCAACAGCAGTCCTCCCTTCCACATCTTCGCAAGTTTCTGCAGACTGTAGTTGGCAGACTTTAGGATTCCTGAAGGAAAAGCAGGCAACTGACCACATTAAACAGAATACCAACATCGCTGACCTTGTTGTGAAGTGTATGTCATTACACTGACATGATAGACCTGGTAACGTAACATGTTTATGGAGATTTCCTAACCAAGGGGCAGGTTTGAGCAGTGGCCTAAAATAATGAAAGTTCACTCATTATCACCAGAGCAACCGATGGTTCGGACATCTAGTCGACCATGTGGAACCAGGCCCAAAGGCATGGTCACTCAACTGGTTATCAAAAGCCGAGTTTAACCCTAACAGTCCCGAATACTCCAATTTCAATGCGATTTTACATACACCCTAGGGGGTTAGGGTTAATTTATCAGTACAGACGGGACCATTCACATGAAAATAACCGTGCAAGATGTCTTTGACCATGAACGCCGAGTAGCAACCAATGGCGAATTGTGAGTGAAGACGAGATTAAAAAAAAAAATACTTTGACCAGGGTCATTTGATTGAGACGGTACTGCATGTGTGCAGCGGTAAAACTGTACTTAGTAAACTTGTCCAAGGCAGAAAGCTGCTCGAGGTGAAAAGCAACAAAAAAATAGTGGGGAAAAGTATTCTTGCTTACCGGCTGTGAAGATACCTTTAATGCTCTGCGTTATGCTCGAGGTCCTCACAATACTTCTCGCACCTGTGAGGACAAAGGAAATATCACACTTTGTGAGGACACTAGTTGCTGCTTGATGACGCTGCGGATCTTTAACGGTGTGTCCAAGTTGGCACCATATTGAGGGAGAGATTTCTCTTATAAGAAAAATCTGGACTGGACTGTGGGGACTTTGGTGAGTCCCCGCACTGTGGGTCCTCACAACAGCTAATGAGCAAAGCGTATGGCCACCACAGTTTTAGGACGGTAATGTGTGAGTTGTCGAGGGTTGCCAGCTAGGTGGCTTTGAGCAATGTCCTTGATAAGAAGGCCGCCAGCCGCAGTGCTGTCTGATGTGAAGTTCGTGAGCAGTTCTCAGAAGTTTCCACACATGATTAGGTATAAAAGCATGATACAAGTAAATTGAGTAGTAACCCTGCTCAACACGCAAGTGTTATAAGCTGAAACTCCTGCTTGGTGTAACGAGATCCAACAGCTTAACAATCTCTGATGGCAAAAAGTCTCAAAGTCCCAGCCTACTAGTCACCAAAGAATCCAACAGTAGCGAACATTGTCTTAGAAATGAGCGGCTGTGTTGCTCCTGTCGACTGTCCAATGAAACAGGATCCCAAAGACAACTGGAACATAGGCTGCGTTCAAACTGTGACTCGTCTGAAAATGAGTAGGGTATGCACACCTTGACCATACAAATGGCAAGAGTATGACCTACAGGTGAGCGAGAGCATACTCACACTCAGCCCAGGTGTATACTCTTTCATCATGTGATCATTCAAAGATGGCAGAAATTAACGTACAAGCAGTGTTTTCCTACATCCGTGAGTACTGAGAGTAAGACAGGGGAACGAGGCACGAAGTGTAAGTTTTGTACCCTTTGCAATCCTGATTCAACCTCTGCAAAAATATTAATACCTCTTGCCACGAGGTTCGAACATTCTTTCTCCCGTGCTATTCTCTGGAGTACCTCCCCTACGTCGTGTGATGCGCCGCCAGCCAATCGGGCTGTGTGCAGCTGCAGGTTCCTGGGCAGGCAGCTCAGGTGAGAAAATAGACAGGCGGGACTCCTGTCTTGCTGGAGAAAAAAAGGTAAGCACAGAGAAAACACTGACAAAAACTTAAGCAGAAACTGTGGAGAATGTCAGAAATTATGCCGGTTTTACATGAGCAAAACAATATGTAGTTGTCTCACAACCATCCGAATTGCATAAACTGAGGTATAAATATAATGGAATTTGTGCATCTCTAAACAGTCATGTGTTGACAACTGTTCTAGATGTCAGTCAACCGTGTTGCCAAATAGCAAGTATTTACAATCCTGACTTGAACTTGGGCAACTGTTTAACACTTGCCGGCTCAAACCCTGACAAAGAGTGACTCTGTGAATTTTAACCCTGAACTCCCTTCGCAACATTTACCGGAAAGCTTCCCGAATCCTAAACAAGCCATCAACTGCAAGAAAATAATGGAATATTCTAGAGCAATAGGGAGGTTTAGTTGCACGGTCTACGTGAACGCAAACGCAAAAAAAGTGCGGACTCTTGCTGACGTCATTGCTTCGTGCATATTGTCTTTCACGTATGGGTAGTTTGCACGGACGTTCAACACATAAAACATGGGAAGTTCACGTTGGATCAAAACGTGAGAAACTGCAACTTTTTTGGAAGGTTTAAAAATATGCTGTGAACATTCGCTGATATGAAATGGACATCTTTGGAAAGTGAAAAGGTTATGCAATTAGAATTTTTTCATGCTTGGTTTATGATGACCGATTACACTTCTATTGAAAGATTTCCCGGATGTGATTGATCATTTGTCCTTTTATTCGAGTGTTCATTGGAAGATGCGGGACGGGCATCTAAACTTTCGAACAGGCATTTGATGCCAGCGCACCCGTGCGTGATAAAAAAATTGTCGCGTTCGCGTTTGCTTAATACGTGCATCTAAACCTCCCTAACACCCAACATCCAGTCCTACGTGAAGTAGTACTGATTGGCCAGTAGGATGCCAAATTCATAAAAAATACTGCCAAACTTTTCAAGTCTGGAAGATTTCCAGGGCAGCTTTGATTTCATTGCCTAACTTTCCAGCTCCCATTTGGATTTGCGAAAAACTAAAAATTTACCCTCAGAACAAAAACAAAAAAAGCTGGGCCCACAGCTTGTACTCACCTCCACGGTTCTGTTCTTTTGGTCCCAGTAAATGTGTTCTGTGTTGTCCAGCATGTCGTGATAGTAAGACCTGAAACCGTCCAGGTTGCCCTTCACGATGTTGCTGACTTTGTTTTTATCCTCCCCAAAGACCATTCTAAAATCCCCTTAAAATGAAAGAAAATTTCAAGCACACCCTAAACGCTGAACGACGTAAGTAGACACTTTTGACCAACCATGAAGGAACGGCCTCTACTTTAAAGATGGAAAACGGGATGCTTTCCTTTTTTTTAATTGGATCTTTACTTTTAGAAAGCAATTTCGAAAGCAAAGCTAGACCTTCAAAGGGTTCCTACAGACTAATCACAGGAGACAATGTGACTTCAGTAGCATTACAAAATTATATTCTTAAACCTCACGCAGGCCACATTTTGGCAAGTCACAGATCCAAATGAGCCAGTTCGGTGTTCCAACATTGCATTCCCAAATTGAAGCGTGTCCGAGGTCGTTTGGGAACAGCAATATGTGAGCGCATGCATGGTTTGTTCTTGGAATGGCCTTGACGTTTTGAAATACTGAACTGGCTTGTTGGTTGAAGAAGTATTTAAGGTGCTTGAGCAACCTGCACGAGAGCATAGTACCACTAGCAGGTATGGCCTCGTATTCTGGTTACCGTGTGTTTCTACACAACTACTTTGAGCCAGATGCTCTCAATCAGCGCAGCTGTACTCACAGTTCTTTGCTTTGAGAGACACCATGATTCATGAGAAGCCATCATTTTCCCCTACCTTGGTACGACAGGCCCGCAATCTTCAAAAACAGCTGCTCCTCCGTGAACGACTCGGGCAGTTGCAGCAGGCTGGCATAGAAGGCACTTTGCAGGTTCCGGCGTATTGCATTGTACAGTTTTCTGCTACTGCTCCGTTGCACAATGCTGACCTGAAGCAGACAAAAATGAGTCCCCAGTCAGGTATTGACAAGTTTTTCCAAGGGGGGAACATTACCAGAAAAACACATGGAAACCTAGAAATCGTTGAAAACGAAATTAAAAAAAAAGAAGGCTGGACATTGTTCAACCCTCTTGACCTATGACTACTAAAATGCATTTCAAGTGGAATTTCTACTGAAAGACTGGTTCTGATTTTTTTCTCTTCTTTCTCCTGNAGTTGTTCCCATAAAGTCTCACTCAATTTGGTAAACTGTGAAATGAACACGAATTTACTGGTGCCATGCAGTGCGCCCTCTACTGAATATACTATTAAGCACCACCTGGAGGAAAAAAACCCAAACCCACGAAATTCAACCCCCCCGCCAGATCGGTTTACTTAGTTCAGAGATTTAGAAGTTCACTCTGTGAGCCGACGATTAGTGACTTGAATAAATCCCCCACTGTCTTTGTGCTCGTCTTATTTTTCACAGCGTCAGCAGAAACTTGGCCTTTTTAAAAACCAAGCGCAGCATGAGGGGTGTCATGTAATAATGGGTCTAAGTCACAATTTGTCGGTTGTGAAGTAAATGTATCGAAGTAAGTAAGAGACTGGGTTGGTCGTTTCCGACACACCACACCACGGGATGACCCAACCTGGTAAAAGGAATTGAAAAGAGGCACTCTTGAGTTACACAACTGTCATCATTTCTCATCCCCGTAATTTTCACCAAGATGTACAAACACTGTGAAATGTCCAGCTCAGGAACACTGATTAACTCTCGAGGACTGGGATCATCTTACTGGTTTGTGTAGCCTGCCGCTGAGGTAGAGCGTATCCCAGTTGATGAGTTCTTTGATCAGGCTGGCCCGACTGACAACACCGTACTTGATTAACTGTTGGGTACCAGAAACAAGATCAACTAGGTTCAATAAGTCTTCCTCTGAATTACTTGGCATTGGCTTGGAAATACACAGGAGTCGATGGCAGTGGCTACAGGCAGTTCCTATAGAGTAGTGTGTAGTTGCAAGCCGCAGCCAAATCGTTTGAACACAGCCTGAGAATCCAGCAAACTGTATGGGAAGCGATGGGGTGACAGAGGAGGGAACAAATGCTTTTCACAGGTTTCTTACAGGTGTCAGTTTGTTTCAGAATAATCAAGACAAACTGAGCTACAATATTCTTTTTCAGTTCGTATGGTTTGTATGTTAACCTTAACCATCCTACATCCTTCCAAATCCACTGGGAAGTTTTGAGGCATTTTTCAGTACTGGGTATGGTTGAAGCCAAGCCACAATGCATGGCACAACATGCCCATGAAAAGTTGATGTACAGAGAATGTGGTTAATTCCAGAAATTAGGGGTTCAAAAGTGTGACATATTCATGCCCCTTTACATCTGACCTTTGTTATTTGATATGGAAATATCACCGAAATTGATTTCAAACTATTACTATTTGTTTGGCAGGTAAATTGNTGTTGTTCCCATAAAGTCTCACTCAATTTGGTAAACTGTGAAATGAACACGAATTTACCGGTGCCATGCAGTGCGCCCTCTACTGAATATACTATTAAGCACCACCTGGAGGAAAAAAACCCAAACCCACGAAATTCAACCCCCCCGCCAGATCGGTTTACTTAGTTCAGAGATTTAGAAGTTCACTCTGTGAGCCGACGATTAGTGACTTGAATAAATCCCCCACTGTCTTTGTGCTCGTCTCATTTTTCACAGTGTCAGCAGAAACTTGGCCTTTTTAAAAACCAAGTGTAGAATGAGGGGTGTTATGTAATAATGTGTCTAAGTCACAATTTGGTGGTGAAGTACATGTATCGAAGTAAAGTAAGAGACTGGGTTGGTCGTTTCTGACACACCACACCATGGGGGGGACCCAACCTGGTAAAAGGAATTGAAAAGAGACACTCTTGAGTTGTGCAACTTTAAACGCATCACACTCAATGGAAATCAAGAGCGACTGTCATCATTTCTCATCCCCGTAATTTTCATCAAGATGTACAAACACTGTGAAATGTCCAGCTCAGGAACACTGATTAACTCTCGAGGACTGGGATCATCTTACTGGTTTGTGTAGCCTGCCGCTGAGGTAGAGCGTATCCCAGTTGATGAGTTCTTTGATCAGGCTGGCCCGACTGACAACACCGTACTTGATTAACTGTTGGGTACCAGAAACAAGATCAACTAGGTTCAATAAGTCTTCCTCTGAATTACTTGGCATTGGCTTGGAAGTACACAGGAGTCGATGGCAGTGGCTACAGGCAGTTCCTATAGAGTAGTGTGTAGTTGCAAGCCGCAGCCAAATCGTTTGAACACAGCCTGAGAATCCAGCAAACTGTATGGGAAGCGGTGGGGTGACAGAGGAGGGAACAAATGCTTTTCACGGGTTTCTTACAGGTGTCAGTTTGTTTCAGAATAATCAAGACAAATTGAACCACGATATTCTCTTTCCATTCGTATGGTTTGTAAGTTAACCTTAACCATCCTACATCCTTCCAAATCCACTGGGAAGTTTTGAGGCATTTTTCAGTACTGGGTATGGTTGAAGCCAAGCCACAATGCATGGCACAACATGCCCATGAAAAGTTGATGTACAGAGAATGTGGTTAATTCCAGAAATTAGGGGTCCGAAAGTGTGACATTTTCATGTCCCTGTTACATCTGACCTTTGTAATTTGATGTGGAAATATCACCAAAATTGATTTCAAACAATTACTATTTGTTTGGCAGGTAAATTGCATTAATTCATCATTCTTGGAAATTAGAAAATGTGTTCTGAACTTACAAAATCATATGTCAGATGTAACAGGGACATGAAAAAAAAGGACCCCTAATTTCTGGAATTACCCATGTACCATTGATTTCCTGAAGAATGAAGGTTTTTTGAGGATGCAGGAACATCTTTAGCAAAATGAGTTAAGGTTAATATACACTTGTGTATACTTCACACAATGTGAAAGTTTTTAAAATTTAAACAAATACCTGTGTGCTGACTCAAAGTACCGAAAAACTGGGACAAGAGCTAATGACGAGCTACTATGCAAATACACTGATGGCCATCTTGGACTAGAATTTACTGATGTCTTGCTTCACCTTAAGTCCTGGAACAAGGAACTAATAGCTGCCTTATACTCACTCTATCTTCACACCGGACCAGGGTGTTGAAGTACACAGATGCCCCAATGTTCTCCTGGATGCTGGCAATGTTTCTGGCTCCCAGGAGTCTGAGACCTGAGTAGTGGTCAGGGTTTCGCCTCAGGTTCTGCTCGTGCCAGTCTGTAGCATTGCCGACCACAAAGATGAAGTCTATCATGTTGTCCTGTGGGAATAATGGAAGAAGAGCAGAGTTAGCCATCCTGAGAACAAGGTTGTCAAACTGACCATTTAACATGGAAAACTGGAATACTCTGTAGCATTGTAGGGCTTAAGTGCAGACTTGAGTCATTTTTTTTTTGCTGGATAAAGACTCAGACCTGCTCCACAAAGAATCTGATTCAGTGAATCTCGGACTCAGTCCCAGGACCAGCAGAGTTGGACTTGTATCTGCTTGACTCTGACTTGGACAAGTCGGACATAGACTCGAACTGGGAGAATGTGACTCAACTACATCACTGGAATATTACAGCTAAAACCCCATCGGAGGATGTAACACTGAGCAGTATTACAGTCCAGTCAATCATCACTCGCTGTGACGTGATGCGAGAGGGAAATTCTTCCTAGGCCATCTTGATCGCAATCCTCTTCTCTTCCTTATCTAGCGTTGGGATTCTCACCTCCCCCATGTCACTGAGACCAACATCCTGCTGCATTGTGTTGATGTTACAAGGGTTTTATCTGTGCATCGTTAACAATTACCTATGTCTCAGTTGTCCGCAATGACAGGACATACACAAAATCTGATAGGCCTGAACCCCCCCCCAGGAAAAATTCCTAGATCTGCCCCTGTTGTGCAGCTCAAGATTAAGCTAAAGACGAATTTGGTACCAAAATCTGGAAAGGGCCCACAGGTCGCGACACTAAACATCAATAATACAGAGTGCACCTGAAGCAACAACTGCCTATGCGAGCAATGTAACAGACAGGTCCCTTACTACATGTACATGTATGTCGATACTGGTCTATGCTCCCACCTTATCCCTGTTGCCGATTTGTTTGAAGACGCCAGACCCGTAGGCAAACGCCATCGTCATGTCCCTGGGGAAATTGGACAAGATCCTGGTGAAGAGGAAACGGTTCGTCTGGCTGACTGCCATACCTGTGGTATGAAAAAAAGGAACACATTTCCACGCTCCGCGATTGTGCCGAGAGCAAATCCAAGGAAAGCTGTGATTTCTTCTGGCTCTGTCCTATTAGCGGATTTGCACCTTGGCTGATCTGATGTACTATCACATGATTTGTCATGAATGCATGTCACAACTGAGGGACCATACAGCCATTAGTTCACAGTACAGAAATGGATTTGCACCATCATTTTTAAATAGATCAAGTTGAAGAGAAAATTTTTAGCCACTCCCCAACTGCAGAGTGGATAGCCTGCAAGATGCTGTGGGATTTTCAGTCACTTATCTGTCTGTATATGAACAATTGACTTGCAGAAATAAATTTGAATTTGTACGATTGGACAAATGAAAGCACTGTACACCGCACCTGCATGATCGAACAGTATGTTGTGCAATGAAACAAAAGCTGGGCATGATCAATCCACCTGTACAAGCCCTTGATCACTGTATGCCTGAAGGCGATCTACAAAACACATCCAACACCAACAGTAATTACTTTTACAGCCTGCAATACAGTTAATCACAATTTTCAACATTTGAGAGATTTCTACATGGTCTAATCCTAGTAACTGGGACTACACTAGGAAGTACAAGTTTGTCAAAGGCAAAGCCTCGGCCGTACTAGCCTTTGACCAAAATGTTGTTGGAACTTGTTTGTTGCTTTGAAAGCAGTCTCCATACAGAAAACACCACATATCTTTTGACAACTGTTGTCAAAAGAAACTCTTCCACATTAACTCTGGACCTACGTTTTTAAAAACTTCACCTGGAGGAGAAAACAAGGAGTATGACCTGTCTTACTACCCCTGTCTTACCGCTTGTTTACCTCCACTGATGCGAACTGTATGCACGTGTGCAGAACCTGAATAGCGCCCTCTCACGAAAATATTTGATCTCGTATCAACATAATCATCCGTATCTTGTTTGCACGTCGGGCAAACAGTGGAAACCGAATAATTATGTAAGCGCCCACAAAATGGGAAGAAATGTAGCTTGCAAGCTGTTGAACGCCACAGGTGGATCACCCTCCACTTAAAAGGATCCGAACAAAGACGAACGTCATGCCACAGGAGGGCAGTATGCATTTCGTGAGCGAAATTAGACTTGCATGAGTTTGTCTTGTATACAAAATAAGACCCATCATAGTTAATGCCTTTTAGGGTGCACCGCAGTAAATCAATTCACATAGACAGCAATGATCCCCATACTTCACAAATATTTAAAATATACTCACAACTCTTACAGGTGTAAAGGCTGCACTGAAAAACGATGTTCGACATGTCCTCTTTCATTTTCCTTTCAATTTTTAGTGGGTTGACCAATGAATTTTCGAGAAGTTGTCACCCAAAGCAGACCACCCCTAAAATGAAGGAAATTTCACAGCCCAGGAACAGTAGCCATTTTGCAAATGCATCCCTCTGCAAAATGGCTCAAATAATGCCACTTTCGGGCCCGATTGCATCCAAATTGCTCAGAAGTGGAAGCCGCTGAGTCCGTATCGGGGCTAGAGGTTCAGTGCCATATTTCTTCAAGTTCAATTCTCCTGTCCCATGGCTCTCAGGATCCTCTAATATAGACTATTTTGAGAGTATAACTTTTATTAATTAATGAGCTCGACGAACACATTTCTGGCTTATTTGTGGGCGCACCCTTCAACCTTTTTAACCTTAGCTGGGGGGGGGCAATGTGAAAGGGACTAGGAGAGAGATAATTTATCCCCCACACAGAATACGTTGCTCTGCTCCTTGAAAATGTTGCTCCTCTAGTTTGATTGATTCTTAATTCTTAATTGCCATCTGAAGTTAGTCCTAGTGGCACGAAGTTCCAGACTGATGAATTGTACTTGTATGCATGTATACAAAAGCACGCCCGTAAATTCAGTTGTCTACATTTTTCTGCGTGTGTATTTTTTCGTGTGTTCCTATATATTTTGATTTGAACAGTTCTCAAACGAGTTCCTCCTGTTCATTTTTTTTCATAAAATAGCACCAAAATTAGGAAACAAGTGGCATTATCCTAAATTTCTGTTTATCTGCGAAAGGAGTGTGTGACTGCCTATCATGACAATCTAGTTAGGAGAAGTCAGGTCAGTGGACTATTTAAGTACATGCAGAGATGCCGTTTTTAGAAATAAGCTTTATTTCACGAACTAGGAAGTTTTTCAGATTGTCCATATCCAAAAATTATCATGCTAATCTTACTCCGGTCAAAGCAAAAATGTTTACGTAAAAAAATTGATGACCTAAATATGTCCCATTTATCTGAATGCACTGGGAAATTGGGACAGTGAAATGGGATGTGAGACACCGAAAAAATGATGTAATCAAATCAGACAAAACGTATTTCCATTGTTAACATGTAAAACTCACAAAATGGGTCTTACTACAAGTTTAAAGCTCACATTCCTTGCACGCAAAGGCCTCAGTTCAGTTGTAAGACCAAGAATAGCCCCGTGCGAGATTCGAGAACCTCAAGATCCATGGAAACATTAAAGACAGGTCAATCATACCCTGCACTCCGTACACTAATTAAAGAGCGTCCTCAACGGCCATCCAAATTCAGTCACCTCAAACGCCAAACAAAAGTCATTTGGGACGGAGGGCACGCAAAGCCGTAGGACATGACACATGTCAACAAAAATTCAAAAAGGGAAAACTAAACTCGGTCTTATCTTATTTAAAAACATGTGCTGAAGTGTTGGTGGACCAACAAAAGAGTGAGAGGTAATTTGTGTAGAGGAAATCAAAACTGCGTGTTGTCATGGTCTTCTGTTTCTGTTACCATGGGAATTATTTTGATGGCTAATTGCGAGAAAAAGCAAGCTGAAAATGCCGCTCTGCAGGACCTGTCATGGCATACTAAGGTCCCCATGTTTGACTTTCTGAGACATCACCAGCTTTCCGGTGATATCACATTAGTTGTTCCCCCTCTGCTTTGAAAATACAACTCGAGAAAGACGACAGAAAACATTGCGCTGAACAAAATTGCTTTTCGAGAAAAACGCACCATTGCTCTCAATCTAATGACTACAGCAAGGGTATATTTATGGGTAGCTATTGCCATGATGTACTACGCAAACAAGTTTGCTGCCCCAAGAAAAATTAATTTTAGATTCGCCCTTGAAACTGCCTGTAAACCTAGGCTTTATTTGAAAGGAGCTGCAAAGCTTTACAACCTGGTCGCCTGCAAGTTTACACTTTTGGTGCTTCATGTACATTCTCCCAATGACAGACATGGAGAATAACCGTTGGAGAAAACGCACGAATTTCTCATTCTGTGTGTGCGTAGACGTGCCATACAAATGTCGAACCACCATATCCTAAAAGTGTAAGAGGAAATCACGGTAGACAGGGTCGTGAGAAGCAGTTTGAAATCCACCAAAATGACGCAGTTATTATCAAAATCAAACAGAGTCTGAAATCTGCAGCCGACCAGGCTATCCTTGAAAGAAGCAAAACTTTAATTAAACTAAATTCTATTGAATACAACAAAGTTTAAGGCTACAAAATCGGACATTAAATGAAACAGCCCTTGAGGGGTAATCCTAAAAGAGCTTGAGCAAAAATTGGGGCAAATAACTTGCTTGGATTCGAACCACAGTCACCAGCAATGTCACTCCTTCTCCTTACTAACCACGCTACACCAACCACATTGTTATCATGGCGTTTTTAAAAAGCCTTTTTTTTTTTAACAGTGAGCCGTGGAGACGTTGTCGGCTGTCAAACGAGCAAAGCTGTTTTATTCCCAATTGGAGACAATGCCGAGAAGCACAACGTAGAAGCAGTGGTTTAAAAAAAAACTGGCCCAAGATGCATGCCAATGTAAATTACTTTCTTCACGGCGTCTCCCGAATTTCGATTTGTCCAATCAAATTGGCTGGATTAATGTACCGAACTCACGTCCCTCCCCTCCCACCGATTAACGAACAGAATTACTATACGTCACACAATTTTTACTCTGAACGTCTTGAAATTAGGGCCTTGAAATGACCCTCCCCCGGAAATAAACCACATCAACATCAATGGAAATGGGAAAGATCATAAAATAACCGGAATCGTACCCCACTTGTTTAAAAGAAGGTGAAAACTGGCATATTTTTAAACATTTTGATGCGGAGAAATACCTGAGAGTGCTCCGCCTTGTATAGAGGGAAACACATACAGCGACTTTTCACCTTTATTTTATTACGCCGTTGCATTTCATGCATTTCAAGAGGAGAGAAGCTGTGTCATCCACTCTGCCGAGTTCCTTCCTTCAGCAGCGAAACTTGCAATTCGAGTGTGGAAAGCTCAAAAACTCTGGACTGCCTTTAACTTCAGGTCAAATGTGGACTACGGTTTTACTGATTTTTGACAACAACATCAACGGGAAACATCGTGCGGTCTCTTGCGGTGACAAGTCCATGGGAGCTCCGGCCCGACGCACCGTGCATACACGCCAGTGGCCCGACCCCGGTACTGTGGACATGCCGATTCCCGGCCAAGGACATCCCTCGATAGATTTGGACTTTTTCAACTGTAGCATGTACATACCCACTTTGGTATGGATATGTTTCTTTCGCACAATAGTCCCTAAAGGGACCAAGAATGAAGCTGGATATATGTGAACTTGTGAGAAACTTAACTTGGGCCCTATGGCCCAAAGCAAAAAAGTGAACTGAACTTTACAAATGTCTTGAATTTGTGTAGTCTCATTTTGTCGAATGATCTGACGCACCATGGTGAGTTTGATGTTTTTGTTAGACTATGGAGATTCAGAGGTGAGTGGAGTTTGAATTATGAGACTGTAATTTTAGTCTTGACGAAATGGAAAGAGTTCTATATGGACAACAGTTGGTGCCCCCGTGCACAAATGCTCGTCAGTTAGCCTACGTTAACGTAAAAACAGCTTCGTATTTTCGAGCTCTTTAGTTGCTTCGCACAAAATACGTTGTTTGAGCTTCAAGGGCAGTGACCCAAATTCCAGAAGAAGCCGAATAGAAGTGTTACCAGCGTGTTGAACAAAAGATTGATGAGACTGATGAAACGGGTTGACATTTGTTTATGAATGGGAACTAGCGCGTGCTTTCATGAAGCACATCGTACAAGTGGGCCCGGCGAGGTATCTGCTACATTCATCCCAACTTGAATGTCGCGGAATGCTACCAGGTGCAATGTGTTGGCAAGACACCAACCCGCGGCCACCCAACTGCAGAGCTGAAGATGTCAAGTGCGCAACTGACTACAGAGGGCTCCCCAGAATTTAGGAAGGAATTTTTTTTGACGTAGTTTATGCATTTGCCAGGATTTGATGTTAAATGATGGAAGAAAAAGGGCTGTCAAATTTGATTTATTGAATTGAATTATGTATCACTTGCAAAGATCGAAGGACGATGGCAGAACCGTTGTCCAAATATTGTGTTAATTTCTAAAAATGGAATGCATATTGCTGTAAATTGTCAAATGGAAATATACTCTAATTACAAAAATGGAACAATGGCGGGACCGTTGTCCGACAATTAAATGATTTATCAAGTGTAAAGAGAAAAGTACAGCGGCGGGACTGCTGTCCGACAATTGAATTATTTATCAAGTAT